GTTGGCCCAGGATCGGACATTGTTTCGTTCTGCTGTGCATGGGGTCGCTGTGAGTCGGTTCCGACTCGATGGCACCTGACAACAACATATATATACATATAAATGTGATAGATTTTCAAGGGAAAACACAAGTAACAGATTCCAGCCCGCAGATGTCTCAGATAATTTAATTAGCTAATAAATAATTTAAAGCAGTTATTAGAACTGACCCAATGGCACCTAATGACAATATTAAAACCATGTTCCATAATGGAAAGGAAAAACCAACCAACAGACCTTTTTTTTTTTTTTTTGGTTCCGTTTGCATTTAGTTTTTCTGGGTTTTTTTAATGACTTAAAATTGTCTCTTTCTTCCTTAATGGTCTCAGTGCCACATCGGGGACATAGATCTCCATGCGGCCGAGTTCAGCTGCACAGAAGCTGCCTGTTTGGTCTCCTGGTGTTTTTTGACCCTGGCGGCTGAGGCCCCGTCTCGGCTCACTGCTGGCTTGGATTTGGCTAGTTTCTGTGGGACTGGAAGGGGCAGTCTCTCCTCTTCCTCTTCTCTTGTGGTCTCTACCAGCTGCCAGCTATGGTCCATGAGGTAGTAGAGTTCTTCAGACTTCATGCTGCTGTCCTCGGTAGGCAGCTGTAGCAGGTCCCAGAATCCTGCCAGGTCCTGGGCTGGCTGGGGGACATGGGATGGTGTCGGGGCTCCAGGTTTGTTCACAGAGGCCCCAGAACTGTTGGAGCTTCTGGGACATCAGTAACTAGACACTGAGGACTTTGCCTGAGAATTCTTCAGAGGTGGTTTCCCTTGGTCTCCTCGTCCATCTCGCAGCTCCAGCCTTCCAGCCGCTCTGTCTCGGCCTGAAGTAGCTTCTAGAACCACTAACCATCTCAGAAGCCGGCCCCTGGCTATGCTGGCTCCGCTGGAGAGCTGGAGGTCGTCTCAAGCCAGGGGTCCGTGGGGGCAGTGAGGAAGGTCCCCGCTAGGACAGGGATGCTGTTGTCTCCACAGGAGAGGTTGTGCTTGATCTGGGCAATCCTGGAGGCCTGTCAGGGGCCAACGTTGATGCTGATGGGAGTTGGGGTGTGAGTACAGTCCAGGAGGTTCCTCTCAGATTACCAAACTCATAGCAGCCCTGCGAGAAAGCCCCAGCTTTCTGGGAGCAGCTGCTGGATTTCAGCTGTCAATCTTGAGGTTAATTGTTGTAGTTACATGATGTCACGTTGGTTTCAACTCACAGCGACCTTATGGCCAACAGAACAACACAGTGCCCGGTCCTGTGCCAACCTCACAATTGGTGTGTTTGAGCCCACTGAGCTGCCACTGTGCCAATCCATCTCGTTGGGGGTTTTCCTCTTTTTTGCTGACCCTCCACTTTACCAAGCATGATGTCCTCCAAGGGCTGGTCCTCCTGACAATATGTCCAAAGCGTAAGAGACAACGTTTGGTCATCCTAAAGCAGCATTCTGGCTGTACCTCGTACTACACAGATTTGTGTGTTTTTCTGACAGTCCATGGTAATTTCAATATTCTCTAACACCATCATTCAAATGCATTTGTTCTTTTACGATCTTCCTTATTCATTGCAGTTAGTAGTCCAGTGTTTATCCTATACCACCTTTGAAATCAATGGAAAACTAGAACTCCTCAGCAGAGAAATAAAACTACAGAAAGGAACCAAATGGTAATTTCAGAATTTAAATTTACAATCCTAGAAGCTAAGAATTCCTGTATTGGCTCAATCGCAGAATGGAATTGGCAGAGAGAAGACTCAGAGTTTAACCAATCACTGAAGAACAGCGAGAAAAAGGTACGAACAGAGGTGAAGGTCTATGTAACAGTATCAAAAGGCCTATCGTTCATGTCACTGGAATTCCAGAGGGAGAAAGAAATTAGTGCAGAAAAAGTATTTGAAGAAATACTAGTAAGATAGAGAAAGCCAGAAATTCACAAATTCAAGCAGCTCAGAACACCCCACACAGCACGTGCCCACCTACCTGGGCTGGGTCTGAAACAGAGGGATCAGAATGTTTCAGCACAGAGCTCCCGGGTCCATCACTCCCATCCGTGAGGGTCCTACCAGACCCCCACCACAGTGCTGTAGACAGGGAGGGTCAGGGAGATGGGGAAAAACCAGCAGAGCCCAAGTACAAATTCAAAAATCTTAATTTATTGTAGACTCTTTTCTCAATTCCAGTGTTTTGAGCATTAATAAATATACATTTGTTAAAAAAAAACAACAAAAACAACCTCCAGTGTCTAATCTCTCTCATAAGGTTTTAAGTCATAAAAATAGGTTTGAATTCTTCCTGTCTTAATAACATAGACATTTTTTTTTTTTTTTGGTAATAGTTCTGATCCAATAAAACCCCCTAACCAGAACTTCAGGGGTGGAGTCCAGTTACAGGCTAATTAGAAGCCATGTATCAGAGTGGAGTGTTCAGAGAGAAACACAGGGAAAAAACAAAAAAAAACACCCTTTTTTTTTCTTAACTGAGAAAACATGCCGTGAGTGGTAGACAGACACCCTTAAAGGCACATTTATAATTCATCCAGGCACGGGGACCTTGGGGTCCGATTTCATTTTGTGTTAAGCATCAGCCCTTTTCTGAGACGCTTTTCCTGCCGTACAATCATTGGTAACAACATTCGCATTTTCACGGGAATATGATGTGAAAGGTACACAGTATGAACTGCGTTTGCACCGTACTTTGATTTTGCTGTCTTTTAGAGTTGCGAGCAGCTGTGTTACTCGTCTGTTTGGGCACCTTATTCAGAGACTGAAGGCAACACGAAACAAACCGGTGTGAATGGCTCTGGGCCCCATGCCATCGTCTTGATGAGGGACCGTCCCAGCTGGCCCTTGGTGTGGGTTTCCAAGACAGTTTGGGAACCATTGAAAAGTGGGGCTCTGGCTTTGTCCCTCTGCACAATTGGCCATTTGAAGCAAAATGAAGTAATTGGTCAGACCCTGGGGGTGGAGGTGGGGGTAGGGGGCTCCAGCCTGCCTGGAGTTTAGAGAGCCGAGACGTTGGCAGGAAGAACTGTGATACGCAGGGAGGCCTTGGGCCTCTGAGTGGGGAACATGTGGCTGGGAACAGAGGGAGGAAGAATTGTCCACCTGCTGGCCACACCGACTGGGCAGGGCTCCAGAGAGGCCCAGCAGGAGCCGTCACTGAGGACTACTGTGTGAATCAGCCCCAGGTGGCACTTCCACAGCCGGGAGCCGCAGCAAACACAGTGACAAGCTTGGCAGCAGGTTGCACTTCATGTCTGTTTGCTGGGATGCGCTGAACGTCCGAGGACTGTGCAATCTCCTTGCGTAAAACCAGTGAGCAGCAGACCCACGGCCTTTCAGTATCAACAACCGGCACAAGCAGCTTACAGTTCAATCTCCTCCTTCGCAGCACCGTACTCGGAGCCAAGGCGGAGCCTTGCTGGTGCCCCTTGGAGGCTGCTGCTACGGGCCTGGACACCCACACTGGTGGACAGACCCTTAGCCTGTCTGTCCTGCACCCGGTGCTGTGAGCTTCTCCTGGCTGGGCCGGGACATCTCTCCCTCGTGCCTGTGGCCTTTGGCACTTGTCATGGGGTCCAATGGGCCCAAGGCCCAGGGGCAGCGGAGGGTCCCGGGGCTGCCTCTATGGGTCCCCACACCCAGGGCTCGTGTCACTGAGAAAGCAGTGCCCTCCAGGCTCCAGGGTCAAGGATGCGCTGCACAGAGACCCGCGTGGACATGGAGCGATGGACTCGCCTCACGGGTTCCTGATGGTTCAAATTGAGGTTTCGTTACTGCCTCTGTTCATGGGGAGAAGCCAGGGGTCAGTGAGGAGGCTGACCGCTGCCCACCAAGCTGTATGTTGGGGAGGGGAACACCTGGGCAAGGCACTGCTGTCTGTCATGTCCTGTGTACGTATGAATGTGGGGTGTGTGTGACTGATGTAAGTGTGGTATGTGTGTGTGTGTTGTGTGTCATGTATGTGGGTGTGTATGTGAATGTGTGGTGTGTGTGAGGGGGGGGCACCTGACTCCACTAAAGGTTGGATAAGAGAGATCACTAGCACTTGGACACTGGGGGCTGGGCTATGGTGTCCCCCCCCAACACTGGCCATTACCAGGAGGCTCTGAAGGCCTGCCTGGCCTCTTCACTCCCAGGGTCATGAATTCCTGCAGCTGGGCCTCTTGGTGCCTCAGTCTCCCCAGTCATCACGTGGGGGTGGTAATGACCCACAAAGCACCAATGACACTGTACATACAGGGTGCCCAGCATGGGGACGTCGATCTGGTCCTGGGTCTGTGAGTGGGGGTGTGGACTGAAGCCCAACCCCTCCAGTCCTCATGGGCCTGAGTACAGGGTCCCTTCCCCCAGCGCCCCCCTCCCACCGGACACTCACTCGGAGTCGGCCCCGCAGGCCTGGGCGCTCCCGGTCCGCACATGCATGGCCACCCCATTGAGGTGCTCATGCGCTGGCTCTCGGGGCAGCGGGCTCTTGATGGTAACACCACCGTCCTCAGGGGCCCGTGACCCTCCATCACTGGAGCCCACGGAGGATGTTCGAGAGGAGCCAGCACTCTGGTCCCCATCAGTCAGCTTGTCCCTCAGCCGGGCCTTCAGGGTCTTCTCGGTCAGCGGAGGCGGGTAGGTGACCTTGTTTTTCAGGATGCCTGGACAGGAGAGACCTGTGGTCACTTCAAGAAGACTCAAAGCTTGGAGCCAGCTTGGAGATGGACCGCCTGAGCCAGGCTCTGCCCATATTGACTCCTACTACCCAAGGTTCTCAGGCCTCAGGCATCACGTCAAGAAGGCTGCCCCACCCGCAGGCTCCCCGTCCCCCAGCGGCACCCACCTTTCCTCTGCTCCGGGGGCCGCTCCTGGTGCAGCTCCACGCTGACCTTGGTCTCCACCTTCAGGTGCGGCTTCTCGCCGGGCTCCTCCCTGTCACTACCGGCCAGGCTCCCATCAGGCCAGTCGGCAGTGATGTGGTTGGCTGTAGTGTCCACTGAGGAACAAGCAGAGGGGACCTGTTCACAGCTCCACCCCCAAAGGCCTCCCTGTCTTGACCACAACATGGACCGTCTATGGGGAAAACTGAGGCCTGGGAGCCTGGGAGGACAGGTTCTGACTATGGCCACCTGTGGCTATGACCCCACACCTCCCCCCCCCCCTCCCTGTCCTGTGCTGCTTGTCTGGTGCATGCTGGGAAGCAGAGACCCATAGCCCTGCCTATCCCAGAAGCCTTCCTGCTCACCTTTGGGGGTGCTGTGGGCGGGGCCGTGGCCATGAGCCTGGGGCGTGGCAGGCTCCCACTGGTCCTCGGCCTCCATGCCTTCATCCTCGCTGTCTGATGAGTGTGAGGAGGCGTAGGAACTACTCTGCTCATCCAAGGAGAGTTCACTGTCCGAGTCTGAGTCTCGGCCTATGGGTGGGCCGAGATATACATGGAGGGACAGGGGTTAGACCCAGGAGGTCCCAGCATGTCTGAAGGAAGTCACTGCAACCAGGGACTTCAGTGGGAAGTAGGGCCCGGCAGATTCTTTGCTATGGACTGAATCGAGTCCCCCCAAAAGCAAGTCATTGGCCCTAACCCCTGTGGATGTGATTAGACATTGCTCCAACAATGGGCTCTAAGGGAAACAACGGTGAAGTGGTACTATGCTTCATTCTGTTGTATGTGGGGTCTCCAGGCTGTGGTCCCACTGCGGAAGAGGATTTTCCTTGTTACGTTAAGAGGCTGGAACAGTGCTGGGAGGTCCTAAACCCAATCACATCTGAGGTACGGAGCAGCACAGAAGCAGGGTTGGGAAATACTATCTGAACAAGGACCAAAGCCCAGGAATACCAGGAGCTGCCTAAAGTGACCAGACGTGTAAGGGTGACCATGGCCACTGATGGTTCTCCAAGGGTGAGGGGGCCACAGGGTGGGAAAGCCTCCTCCCAGGAACTGTACCGTGGCCCTTCTTGGTGCTCCTGTGGACAAAGGGTGCATCTGACTCCCCATGGCTGCCCCGTGCCAGCCCCGATGACATACGCTTCTGGACACCTTCGTCCCTAGAGATGATGGGGGGGGGGATTAGCACTGCCGCTTGGAGGGATGGACACTGCTACCACCCAATGCAACTGAGCACTTTCTGCTTGGGTCACGAGGCAAGACCCTTGGGATCTTCCAGAAGGTTCTCTGCATTACCATCTGTGTTCTGACCTCTGGCTGGTGGGGCACTCAGCTCAGGCCTCCCACTGGTATCACGGGGTGCCCAACCTACCCCCAGGGAGATGCCTGACCTCAGGGTGCTGTCCAGGGAGGCAGTGGACTCGCCCAGGGCTGTGCGGTACATGTTGGGTTCCTCATTGTAGGTGTTGTCGCAGTTGAGGGAACGCTGGGGAGAGAGCGTGGTTGTTCGTGGAGCCTGGGCAGAAGTGACCATAGTCGACGCTCCCTCATCCCCCGCCCAGCCTGGTGCCTCAGAGCCGCAGTTTCTGGTTCCAGGGGTCTTGCTTATGGCCCCTCAGAGCTCGGGGCTGCCCCCATGTTGAGGGACACTTTGTTGGTATTCAAGGTTGGCCCACCCTCAGGGGGTGCGCCCCAGCCTCTGGCCCTACCGTCAGCAGTGTGGCCCTGGTAGTGGCTGAGTCGTCCGGGTGGGGCTTCTTGCCAGTGAGCACCCCCTTCAGGTGTTTCCGGACTTCCCTGTTGAGCACGCAGTGGAACAGGAGGACGAAGAGGCCCTGGGGGCAGAGAGGGACAGTCAGGGCACTGGACACACAGCTGGGCAGTGTGAGGAAAGGGGCCCCAAATGTGGATGGGTTATGAGTGAGCCCATGCCAGGCTCCTCCTCCTGAGAAGGTGGGCAGGCGACTAGGGCGCTGGGGGTCTTGCCTTCACCACCCGCAGGCCCTCAACTTCTGAGCGCCTCAGGGTGGGCGCCACCAGGAGACTCGAGTTTACACTGCCCACCTGACCACAGTTTACTATCACCAGATGCGGCACAAAGTGGGACTACCTTACGGGGTTGCCCTGACCTCATGTGGGAACAATGACAGAGCCCCTGACATTGGGTATAGGTCCTGCATTCCACCGGCCTTCACCGACAATTGGCCGGCCCAGGAAGCTCAGACAGCCTCGCCCATAGTGCAGACGACCCCGCCCATAGCGCTGATGGCCCCGCCTACAGTGCAGACGACCCCACCCCCGCAGTGAACAGTCCCGCCCATGGTGCAGACGGCCCCACCCCCACAGTGCAGACAGTCCCGCCCACAGTGCAGACGGCCCCACCCCCACAGTGCAGACAGTCCC